CAAGTTCTCCCACTTAAAAGATGAGAGAGGCCTGTAATTTTCATCCTAGGTATACCTCAACTATGAGAGACAGAATGAGAAAGAAAATCACATTGTCTGATTTTTAAAGAATTTATTTGCAAATTATGGTGGAAAATAAGTATTTGGTCAATAACAAAATTTCATCTCAATACTTTGTTATATACCCTTTGTTGGCAATGACAGAGGTCAAACGTTTTCTGTAAGTCTTCACAAGGTTTTCACACACTGTTGCTGGTATTTTGGCCCATTCCTCCATGCAGATCTCCTCTAGAGCAGTGATGTTTTGGGGCTGTCGCTGGGCAACACAGACTTTCAACTCCCTCCAAAGATTTTCTATGGGGTTGAGATCTGGAGACTGGCTAGGCCACTCCAGGACCTTGAAATGCTTCTTACGAGGCCACTCCTTCGTTGCCCGGGCGGTGTGTTTGGGATCATTGTCATGCTGAAAGACCCAGCCACGTTTCATCTTCAATGCCCTTGCTGATGGAAGGAGGTTGTCACTCAAAATCTCACGATACATGGCCCCATTCATTCTTTCCTTTACACGGATCAGTCGTCCTGGTCCCTTTGCCGAAAAACAGCCCCAAAGCATGATGTTTCCACCCCCATGTTTCACAGTAGGTATGGTGTTCTTTGGATGCAACTCAGCATTCTTTCTCCTCCAAACACGTCTAGTTGAGTTTTTACCAAAAAGTTCTATTTTGGTTTCATCTGACCATATGACATTCTCCCAATCCTCTTCTGGATCATCTAAATGCTCTCTAGCAAACTTCAGACGGGCCTGGACATGTACTGGCTTAAGCAGGGGGACACGTCTGGCACTGCAGGATTTGAGTCCCTGGCGGCGTAGTGTGTTACTGATGGTAGCCTTTGTTACTTTGGTCCCAGCTCTCTGCAGGTCATTGACTAGGTCCCCCCGTGTGATTCTGGGATTTTTGCTCACCGTTCTTGTGATCATTTTGACCCCACGGGGTGAGATCTTGCGTGGAGCCCCCAGATCGAGGGAGATTATCAGTGGTCTTGTATGTCTTCCATTTTCTAATAATTGCTCCCACAGTTGATTTCTTCACACCAAGCTGCTTACCTATTGCAGATTCAGTCTTCCCAGCCTGGTGCAGGTCTACAATTTTGTTTCTGGTGTCCTTTGAAAGCTCTTTGGTCTTGGCCATAGTGGAGTTTGGAGTGTGACTGTTTGAGGTTGTGGACAGGTGTCTTTTATACTGATAACGAGTTCAAACAGGTGCCATTAATACAGTCAACAAGTGGAGGACAGAGGAGGCTCTTAAAAAAGAAGTCACAGGTCTGTGAGAGCCAGAAATCTTGTTTGTTTGTAGGTGACCAAATACTTATTTTACTGAGGAATTTACCAATTAATTCATTAAAAATCCTACAATGTGATTTCCTGGATTCTTTCCCACCATTCTGTCTCTCATAGTTGAAGTGTACCTAGGATGAAAATTACAGGCCTCTCTCATCTTTTGAAGTGGGAGAACTTGCACAATTGGTGGCTGACTAAATGCTTTTTTTCCCCACTGAATTTCTATTAATCATTTTCGGCCTTTGGTTTTCGGCCAACTGTTTCCTATTTTCGGTATCAGTTTCGGCGAAGAATTTCCCATTCGGTGCACCCCTACTATTTAACGCAAATATGCTAATCGTTCAAATTGCCCAACATATGCAAGTTAGCATCCGCCAGTTTCTATGTGTATTTCTATAAAAAAACGTTTGTGTACTCAACATTTCCAGGTTCAGAATATGAGCTGGTAAATAGACAGTATCATTCTGAGTTCAAAGCTGAAGTCCGTACCTCCCTCAGCCAGCCCTCGATGCGGGCCATGGCGACCTCCCTCTGCTTCTCCACGGCAGAGATCTCGTCCTGCAGGGCCAGCAGCTCGGCCTCCTGCGCCTCCTTACTCCCCCGCTCCATCTCCTGCCGTAGCTCGTCCAGCTCCTCCTGCCACCTCCGCTGCTCCTCGCTCTGGTCCTCCATGAGAGCCGCCAGCTTGATCTCGTTGTCCTCCAGCTCGTTGGCCAGCCTGGAGAGGAGAAGGAGTGTGTTCAACAATATTATCCATGTATTTGTTGATTTAGATGCAACTGACAAAGAACAGTTTTTTAACAGTCTGACATCAATAAAATATGATTTTTTTATTTTCCCCAATTGGTTTTACTGGTCTTGCAAATCTATACAAACCACATAATTAACCTAATAACATATCAGTGGCTTCTTTTCAACACTAGTATAGTGGTACATTATTGAGAACTGAAAATCGCAGCTGGTCAAAAAACGTTCGTTACGTAGTCAAGATGGGGGCGGGGGTGGCTAAGTCCATAGGGACTTGGCTTGGCAACTGGAAGGTCACCAGTTCAAGTCCCGGAGAGACCAAGTGCTACCGAGGTGTCCCTGAGCAATGCATCGTTCCCTACACTGCTCCCCGGGCGGCGTACATAATGGCAGCCCACTGCTCCTAACACTAGGGTGGGTCAAATGCAGAGACCTTCCCGGGCGCTGTGCAATAGCTGCCCACTGCTCCTAGTACTAGACTCCTGGTACTAGGATGGGTTAAAAGCAGAGAACACATGTCACTGAGTGCTCTGCATGTGTGGCCATTAAAGAGGATTTCACCCCTCCCAATATTATTATTATGGCTTTCATGGAGTGTGAGAAGTGTCCAGCGTTCCACACCCAGCTTTTCGTCATTGATACAGCACTGGTTAATTAAAAATATTATTTTAAAACATGCCCTTTGGTGGATGATGTGTTTGACAAATCACAGGGGATGCATGAGCATATTCAAAAAGAGATGGTGAAAATAATGTAATTGGCACATTTGGCTGCTGCGTTGTTAGAATAGAGTTTGGCTAACCAGCAAGCGGTTCCTGATCTGCTTTAATCTTATTTTTAAATTTTCTGGGTGGGCTGGACTCTATCAGTCTGGTTGGAGCCGATTAAATCCCTGGCCTTGCTGCGCGTTCATTTCTTGTTATTTCAAAGAAAGTGAAGAACATGTGCTGTATCCGCCAATGATAGGGAACCACTTCATGATTGAATGGATTCTTCCTTAAGCCATTATTCTCCCTTTTGACTCATTTGACAAAGAAATGCGGTCTTCTTGGTATTTACCTGTTTCTCTCCTCCTCTGCTCTGTTCTTCTCTGAGGTCATTTCCTGTTTCTTGGATAGGAAGTTCTTCCTGGTGGCCTTGGAGTTGTTCAGCTGCAGTTTAACTCGCAGAGACTCCAGTTTGTCCAGAAGAGCCTGGAAACAAAGTCACAGTGTGATGGAGGAACAACTTGTTTTAACTTTTAAACAGTGTGTAAGTGAGGGTCTCACCAGGTGCTGCCGGGTGGCCTCCTCCTTCCTCCTCTGCACCTGTTGCTTCTGTTTCTCATGCGCCACCCCCTCCTCGCCCTGCTGCTTCTTCATGTTGTCGTACTGTTCCGTGAGGCTGGAGCTGTAATCCAACATGGCCGCCACCTGACTCTCCCAGTCCGTGTCCGTGTTGACGCCCACCTCTTCGGTCATATTCTCCGTCTGCACTGACTGCACTTTTTGCAGCAGGTCTGGGAAAGGAAAGGAAACCAGTAAATAAGAGGGTCAAAAACTGTAAACAACGCAAAGCATAGTATTAAGAGACAAGAACAGGCCGCATCACATTAAGACTCATTGGTGACTCATATTAAGATTATATACATTTGTTGATGCTATATTCATTTCTTTTAATCTGAGTCTAAATGTGTCATATATTTTATAAACTTGCATATGGGAAGCATTTTGCTTGGCAAGCCCAGTCTGCTCTGATTGGTTAGCTGGCCTGCTCTGCATATGTTGGAGCACTAGCCAATACAAGCATGAGTGTTGCATGGTGATGTCACTGTGTTATAGAGGTGGGAGACAAACTTTGAATTGTTAGCCTTTGCAGACAATTTACAAGCACAAAAACATATATGACACACTACAGGAAAGGGAAAACCAAGAAAAGCATAATCTTTTTAAATGCAACAACATATCCTGTATTGCACAATACTCGACTGACTTCCTGTTTGATTCTGAGAAAAATTACAGATAACTTACCGTAATTTTCGGACTATAAGGCGCACCTGAATATAAGCCGCAGCAGCTAAATTGAATGATGTGTACATATATAAGCCGCACTGGACTATAAGCCGCAGGTGTTTTAATGTTTAATTACCATATGTAAGGGTTCGTGCACAGAGGGGATTGTCGGGAAAGAGATGGCTGTTTGAGGAAGCTCCCATTTATTAACATTTCAACAAACAAGTTGCATATTTGCATAACCTATTCAAGTGTTAGCATTTAGTGCAATAGTAGCTACAGAACATGTACTGTGCTGTGTAAACTGTACTGTATCACATAGCGTTTCAGACACACAAACTTTTCAACTTTCAAACTTAAACGGTGCGCTCCCAGCGCACGTACCGGCAGTGATCTACAGCAGTGGTTTTCAACCAGTGGTACGGGGACAAACTGTCTCGCTCTCGTAATGTCTGTCTGTCTTGCTCTCGTTCTGTCTCTCGCACCACTCTCGGTTCCACTTTTACTTTTGCGCGCTACCTGTCTCACTCTTTTCCGGCCTCCAGCTTTTCCTGCTGGAACCCGCGCTGCTTAAAGTTGGGGGTCCGCGAACCGCCAAGAGCCCATAGAGTTAAAGGTGGTGGCCCGTGAGCTGTAAAATCACATAGATTAGCCCGTTATAATAAGCCGCAGCGTCGAAAAATGGGAAAAAGAGCCGGTCTTATAGTCCGAAAAGTACGGTACTTATCCTCAGCAAGCTTGGGTCCTAACATGTGCAAGAAAGCAGTTCAAACCTATTAAGTGTATAATAGATATCATATCAGTAGAATGGATCCTTAAACACATACACAATTACGTACTGAGTACTTATTTTCTCGCTTTTTAATCAAGCATACAACATGAAAAATACTCCATTATTAATTTTCATCTGTCAATTCTTAAAAAATTTAAAGAGTCAAAGGTATATTCCATTGTTAATATGATTAGGATGAGACTTATGGGACATTTATTGTAGTTTTCAACATGCTATGGTAAATCATATATAGTCACTAATAATATATATATAATACCGTATTATATATATAGTCATTCAGTGAGTGCGGTGAGGTGCATGGCTGGTGGAGGCGCACTGAATCCTTTCAGAGTCAGATTTACAAATATTGATATTTTGACCTTAATCAAAATATTCGCTATTTCAAAAGCTTTTTAGTCTGATGCGCCAATATCATTTTAAACAGACCGTTCAAACCAAAAAGTACCCAAAATCTAAATATTAGGATTGTCTTTCTTTGTAAGATCGCCATTTTCATTAAAATTGTGTCTTACCTTGACTTTGAAGGATTAAGTCCATGCCCTCCTTCTGGACAACAATCTCTATTAGTTTTTTGTAAAAGTCCTCCTTATCTTCCTGTAGTGTTTGCAAAGTCTAGTTGTTGTTTGTTCTACCGTTCTCGGCGTAACAATAACATTAGCAATCAAGAACCTGGTGGCTCACGTGCGCCCCCTTCAGTGCGGCAGAGTTATGGCTGCCCTCTCCTGCTGCTTTTTCATTGCCGTTATATGAATGAGACCAGCGAGCCTACAAATAGTCATTATAAGCTGTAATAAGTTATTTATTAGAGACGAATGGATGGCGAGGATACATTGTAATAAAGGGATCTACAACATTACCATTGGTGACCTAACAGTGAGAAAGGTAAACACCGCATCCGCCTAGGGGCCCGCGTTTCCAGACAGTTTCTGTGGGTTGACACATTCTGAGGTGAGGCAGAAGCTGCATCTTGTGCCTCACCTCACCCCACAGTAACTGCGACTGAGCGCGCTCACAAAATAAGGTGCCCGCCGCATAAATTAGTGCCGTGGTCCAGCAGTTACTGTGGTTTACCGAGAGGCAGAATCTCCGTCCCTGCCGTCCTTCTCATCGCTACCCGAGTTGTTAGCGGAGCGTTGCAAATTTGTTGATTTTGACTTAAAAAGCGATTGGGAATCATGACATAAATCACACTTACATCATAGATCAGTGGAGACATTTTATTATTATTACTATTTAGTTTTTCTTTAGTTGTTTTTCCGTTACATTGGAGTATGACAGGTGAGGCTCTGCCTCCCCTGCCTCCCCTGAATGCACGTCGCTGGTCTCTAAATAACTTATTTAACGTATATATGATATTTAGGCTCGCTGGTAAAGATAATCTTAATATATATATATATATATATATATATATATTAAGATTATCTTTACATTTGACAGCAGCATAGTAAAGTGAAGAACACATTAATGCATCAATCGTTATTATGAAATAATATAATACAGAGTATTTTAAACTGGGCCATTCTGCATAATGAGTACTTATATTTTTAATTAAGATTTTGAATGCAGGACTTTTAATAGTAACAAAGTATTTCCATACTGTGGAATTAACGTTATTACTTTTACTGTAGTTCTTCCACAACTGTTTTTACTATTGACATAGTACATCAAGTGTGCTGCAGTATTTTAGTACGTCGTCCTCCACCACTGTCCCTCCCTTTATAAACCCGTAATGATGTTACCTTCCACCGTCATGTTTGCTAACGCTAGCTCCAGGTCTTCTTCTTCCTCCTCCTCCTCGGTTAGATGTCGAACTCCTGGCTCTTCCTCTGACGGCATGCTAGCAATCTCCCCGCTAGCAGCCATACTGTATGAAATGAAACTTAAAGTTAAACCTTGCTCGTTAAGATGTTTAACAGCTCTGGCAGCTAATATGCTAGCTAGCAGCGAAAGTGGCAACACTTAGCACATAAAGACTTTCTTTAAAATGTATTTTTTTGCGATATAAGCTGTTGACAAACTCCAGTTTACACTTGCCGCCATTGACATCCGAAACACACGGAAATAACTGCGTGTCGTTAAATTTGGTCCGGCTGTAACGTCACAAAGCTCGTCTATGATAAAAACATGTTTTTTTTTCTGCAGACAACTTTATTAAACATGGCAGAACAGGGAAATTTCAGTAGAAAAGTCAAAATAAGTAAGTGCTATCATGCCACACTGTGTAAATACTCTTCTACAAGTGAAAGGCCTGCTTTGAAAACTTACTTCAATAAAGTAGCCTTAGTAATGGGAAATGTAGGGTCAATGTAGTTGATGCAAAATAAATGTGTGAATGTAGTGAAGTACGTATTTGTGTCTCAGTAAGGTAACATTTCCTCCGGATTAGACATACATAATAGAACTTAAGAAAAATAAAGCCTATGTAAGGTCTAGGGATGTTCACACATTTTCTCAACAATTTCAGATTTTACTATTTTCAGATTTTCTTTTTGTATTAACTTCTATTTTATGTGCAATTACATAACTCCATAACGTTTAATCTGCTTTCCTTTATTCAACTACTATTTTAATCGTTTTATTTGGTGTTTAACTACTCATTTAATTAATATTATTTATTGGATCTATTGCAATAGTAACGTTTCTTATTGGCGTGTTTTTTTAAATAAATTGCTTAGTTTAATTGGATTGTTGTCTACTGAATATTTAGTTGTTCTGCTCATTTTGTGTGCTTATCATTTTTTAAATTAGATTATCTTATTTGTATTTATTTTTTTATTTCATTTTTGTTATTGTTGTAGATATGGGGAGGAGCGTTGTATAAGCCAGGGACTCAATTATACATCTCTGAAAAACTTTTAAAACAAATAGCAAGTAATTACGAGATTTGAGATGCTCTTAATCAAAAGTATTGTGTGAATTTATAAAATGTGAAGTTTCCCTAAGGTCACCGTCAAACTGGCGGTGACAGGAAAGAGCTGCAGAGTGAGACCTCTTCTTCTTCCTATCGTCTCAGACTCCCGTCCATGCTCCCATCAGGACTCCTGTTAGTCACATGACAGAGCCGGGAAAACCTCCTGACTCCCCGCTCCTTCTCTCCTCCCCTCGCTCTGTCAGTCTACTGTTTTCTCGCTCTCTGTCTGTGTGTGTATGTGTGTGTCTGTTAGCTAGCTGTTAGCTATCGTCACAATCAACCGCAGGAACGACACCATGGCGGACACAGCCAGGGACCCTCCACCGGACCACACCGACTTCCATGAGCTGGAGGACGGGGAGGACCTGTTCCCGGAACCGACTTCCACTCTGGAGGTAAGGAGGAGGGGATGAAGGGAGGCCGAGGGGAGCTTTGGCAGGCAGGGCGTGATGCTTCCAGCTGACAACAGATGAAAACTTAAGAGGGGGGTGAGCAGTCAGGAGGAGAGCTTTTAAAACGGGTCATTTTTGAATGGGGTTTGGCGTGTGAGTGGTTTTTCCATCCCTGCACTGTCATCATTCAGCAAACAGACGTTTAAACAGTACTGAAAATTATGTTTTTAACAACACTAACGGTGGCCTTCAAAGCCACCGTTACAGGAGTCCAGGAGGGTCATATTTGCGCGGAGAGAAACGCAGAATAGGTATGTTTGCCCCACCGTCATGTGACTGTCACGCAGGTGTGGGTGATGCATTCAGGGCAACCTGCAAAAACGGAAAATAACCCTTCAGCAAAACTAAAAGTTCGTTTTCTTGTGTTGTTGAACTAATTAAAACAGTGGTTGAAGTTGTAAAGTTATTGCATCATAATGTAATGCCGGAGGCAGTGTTAGGACGAGTGTTAATCTGATAAATTGAAAGGAAAAAGACACTGAACAAAATAATGTGTTTTGGACATTTTCAATAGTGTTCACTTATAAAAACTAAACAAGAAATTGAATTAAAGTGAATACAACTAAGCACTACAGGCATGGTAGTTGTCCTTAAATGGATAACATTTGATCTATTATGAGTCATTGGCTTTGGAAATGTATAGAATGTGGACCTAAAAACCTCAGGAGCATGATATAGCTTCTCAGAAGCGATGATGAAACCTTGGATGAGGAAGATACACTTTGTTGGCCAATTGCGTTGGTGCAAGAAATGTTAATCATGTTACCAGTAATGGTGAAAATATTTCCACATAGTGCGGAGCAGCTTTGTAGTATAATACAAACAAAGAGCAAAACAAGTCCTCAATTGACCAGACCTAAACAATATATGTCAGATTGTTTACCCATTTAATTCGATTTTAATATTAGTATAAAGACAAGGTAAACAGGAAAAAAAAAAAAGTTAATGGAAAAAAGCAACCCTCTCATAAATGATCCAATTTCACCGGATTCCGTTTTTCACACCAACGCGGTTCCAGGGCCGGTTTGGAGCTGGAGCTTGAAAAGCACAGTTTTTTTCCTGTTCACACCGCAGCGGAGCCGCCTCTAAGCTCCGGAATCCGGTTCGTTTCAAGCACCAAAAAAGTTGTCGGTTTAGAAAGCAAGCACCACGTCACGCTTACGTCGGATCTGGGCTGTGTCCAAATAACACGCGGCACCCGCCTTTCCGCCGACTTCAACGTGATCTGTGGAAATAACATTGAGCATCAGTGTTAATGTTATATCAAAGTAATCAATGCAGCAAAGCTGGGTATGTGGAGCTTGGCGCATGCAGAGGCTAACAACAGCTAGCTCTGACGCCATCGAATAGGACGTATATTTACCTTCTTTCTGCTACCGAATCGCCGCTGAAGTTGATGATGATTGTAAAGAACTTTTGAATGTAGCATGTAACGACTGTAAGGCTGGAGGTAAAGTCGTCCCATTTCTTCCATTTCGTTTCGACAGAGCAAAACGAGTAGCGCTTCAATACAATCGGCCATTGTTGTTGTTGTCGGTGTCAGCTGTGAGGGGTTTCCGCGCGGTTTGGGTTTATGAAGCAGGCACGCAAACGGTTACGTCATGACGCAAACGATGACGCAGCACCAGTCGGGCTCTGGGCGGTGTGAACAGAGCTGGAGCTAAACCGAAGAACCGGTTCTGAACCAGAAAAGCTCACGGAGCTAGAGCGGGAAAAGCCTTGGTGTGAAAGGGGCATCAGTCCTTCTGCGTGTATCAATTAATGTTTTGCATCTATTTCAGTCATTTTCGGGTCTCTTCGGTTGTTTACCACCCTTTTATTTTAGATTAGTAACTGTTTGTCGTGGTTTTCTTGACACTCGTCCCACAGTTTTCCAGGAAGAGGAACGAACGGACAGAAGTCGTTGACAGAAAGTGAGACAGCTCTTTTATCTGAAACACGTTTCACGCTTCCCTCTTTTTCCAGAGTTCCTCCACTTTTCCACTCTCTTCCAAACGTCCTGAGTCAGGAGGGAGGACGCTGGAGACTGACGTGAGACACATTAACCCCGTGAAGCCTAACACATCAAATAATAGTCAGAAAATTCTATTTTTTTTAAATTGAGGTGTTTATTGAACCTTTTAACAAAATACAAC